CAAAAGGACTGAATTTAACTTTAAATGGGCTTTCTTCTTACACATTTGATCTTAATGAAAATACAATAGTGCAACACTACGTTTCAAGTTATTAGTACATGTACTGGCAAAGTTTCATATTTTTTCATTAGGCAGTTTCTGAGAATATACTGTTCGCAAAATTTGGCCTTAGTTGATGAAAACCAAATATAGCGAGTCGACATTGCATTTCTGCAAAAGTAACAAGCGAAATTTAAAATGCTTCTCATCTGCTTCGTACAGCTTGAACGTACCCATGCATAGACAAGGAGTCGAAGGATGACGCCCAGATTTTTCTTTTTTTTTACATGTATTTCAAGAGCGCCACGTCGATTCGCTATGGTTGGTGTACCGTGTTTTTTAACGGCTTGCCTCCAAGGGGATAAGCAGTTGATGCACCAGGAATCTGTATGCTGCACATGTATGTGTCAGGCTTACTGAACATAAAGCTCCAACTTCCTTTTTAAAAAGGGGGAGGGGGGCTGTTTAACTACAGTGATATTTTCATTAGCAAAGGGATGAAGTGGGTGCCACGGGACAGTTTGATTGAAACTGCGTGTGTGCCACAGGCTGCCAAAGAGAGACTTTCATTTCCGTCTGTTGGGCTCCATCTGTCCTTTTGTACTATGACACTCTTTGCGGACTTTACCTGTGGACTCAATTACAGTTTTGATGATTTTGTTATTGATAAACTAAAGGAAAGTTTCCCTGAGACATAACGTAACCGCTACAGGCAGTCCCAAATATAGATTCGAAGGATGCATTTTTTGGATGGAGTTTGAGCCTCTCAGAATCGATTCATATGTCACATTTTTTAAATATTTTTTTTTGCTTTTGTACATAGCATTAACAGTCTTCTTTTAAGAGACATTAGATCTAACATCAGAAGAAAATGTACGTGTCCAAATCACAAACCTATTCGGGTGGTTGCCATATTTCTTGATCAGAGTCAGAAGTCACTTTTGTCTCATAGTTCTATTTGACACAGTTAAGGGGCAATCATTCTGATTTAATTAAATGAACACTTGTTAATATTTTAAATACAATTCACCATCCACAATACAAACTTCCATTCATCCTGGGCGTAAGGGTATAACCAGCCCACCCACTAGGTTTCAGACGTATGTCGATAATTTTTCTATATCAGATTGTACGGGTGTACAACACCCAGTCTTTGTGTATAAGATGTGAAATATTTCGCTGCGGAAAGGGTTAATAAACCTAAATAGCTTCAGCCGACACAGGCTCGCAAAACTATTGGTTGAACGAAACGCGTAAGTAAAGCACCTATCCACGCTCTGCGGCCTGCTGTGTGCGCCCCACAAGACCCTCTGAGATCATTCAGAAACCTTGTTGGCGCTCAAACACTAACATTAGTAACAAACTGCAAGATCTTTCACTGCGTATAGCCAGGTATTCATTATCATTTTGGCCTGGGTGAAGTGAGGAACATTCGTGTAAAGTGCCGACGCCACATCTATTTTCTGTACAGACGTTCTATAGTGCTGTTCGACAAGCGTTTCTGTTTCTTTATATTGTTCAAGGTAACCGTTGAAAATTCTTGAGTAGTCATGCCGAAGAAAAAAGATCACGCTCGTGCACTTTTATCATCTGCATAGTTGAAGGCAAGTTCTTCAAAATTTGCTGTGGATTTTGTACATTCTTAATATTTATCCAAAGCTAAAATTCGAAAAGTCTTGGGCTTTTTTGGTTTTTTTCCTGTATTCCGATTAATTTATGAGAGGAACATTAATGTCCAGTGTTCTTTTCACTGCCTTCTTGTTTCCAGCTCTTAGATTAGACACCACGACGTTTTTATTTTTAACTTTAAGTTTATTTTCCTCTGCACTGTTGTCATTACAAGCGTGTATCCTTAGTCAAGATTAAAGCACTCGAGGATGGGGCATCAGGTGTCTTGTCACCAGCACTACACAATTTGTTCTTCAGACGTGTGTCTTCGTAACTTCCCTCAACCACAACAAAAACAACAACTTTCTCCTTCTGTGACACGCCATTTAGGTGGGTCGTTGGCGGGTGCTCTGGTGTGGTTTGCTCCTTCTTTCCTATCAAACATCTATCGTCCTTATCTCCCCTTCTTCTTTTTTATGTTT